ATCAACAATTCTCTCTCACTCTCTCTCTCTCTCTCTCTCTCTCTCTCTCTCTCTCTCTCTCTCCCTCTCTCCCCTCTCTCTCCCCCTTCCTCTCTGAAATAAAAAACAATATATTTTTAAAAATTTAAAAAATGTAAATTCGAAGTCATGATATAAGGAGTCCTTCAACTTCTTAACTGTATACGTAGGAGCTTGCCTGCACCTCTGCTCTTCTTTTCCCCTCCCCTCCTGAGTTCCCATCTCCTGTCTCAGGCTAATTCCAGCATCAGTGTTTCAGTTCCTATCACCTCCTGCTTCTTCAGACCTTGTGTAATCCACTGCCCTTTGACAGCTGCTCCTCACTGAAACGGCTCTTGTCAAGATGACCACAGGCCTTCTTGGCATCTTGATTTTACTTAATTCATTCTTTTATCAAATATTTACAAAGCACTACAATGCACCAGACACGGTACTATGCAGTGTGATCCGCCAGTGAAAGAGGCAGGTGGAATCAGTGTTTGACCATGGGGCTGGGGGATTTGGGGAGGAGAAGTAAATAAAGGAGCCAGCAAATGCATACAATGTCAGCAGATGAGTGATAAATGCAGAGGTGAGACATGAATCAGGGTGAGATGGGAGGTTATTATTTTAACTGGGGTGATCGGGGGAGTCCTCTCTGAGGAGGGGGCATCTGAACTGAGATCTGCATGAACAAAGGACTGAACCATTCTTGGATCCGAGGAAGAGCATGACAATCAGTGGAAACAGCAAAGACAGTGGCCCAGAGTTAGGAGTGAGGAGTTATATTTGAAGAATGAGCAGAAGACCCGTGTATTTGGGTCAGAGCGAGCACGTTAGAAGGGTTAGGGTTAGAGTGAGATTAGAAGAAGAGACGCCAGATCACATGCCTTTGACCTTTGAAGCACATTTTTGATTTAGCTTCCAGACTTTTCTCCTGCTTCCTTGCTATTCCTACTCAGCCTCTCTTGCAGATCCTCTTCTCCGCCTGTCCTTTACGGGTTAGCATTTGGCAAGGTTCTACCCTAAGCCGTCCTCTCTTCTCTCTGGACATCCTGTTCCTGGACAGGACGCAGAGCAGCCACTTAATGAAGGTTATTTGATTCTGGTTACTTTGTGTTCCATCTCCATTCTGTTAACTCTTCTCAGACCAAACTCTGGTTTGTCTATAGATCAATTGACTTGTGGCCCAATGTTCACATATGATCTGACCAAGCAAAGATGAAAATGGGATTCTCTCCTCATTATAGTTAGGTTCTATATTCTAAAAATGTAGTCTAAGTCTGTGACTTAGTCATCGCTATAGCCCTAGTGCCTAGCACGGTGCCTGGCTGATTGTTGAATGAATTTACGAATCCAATGAAGAAAGGCAGGATTCATGTGTCAGCATCCAGATCATCGTATTGATTAAAGATGAATATTACTCTTACCACACTCGCGTGCTCCCAGAGATAAATTTCCAGGCCATCACGGGCTCTCCGTGTCTGTGTTACATTTCATCTTGTCATATTTGGCTCGTTTTCCAGGATTTCAAGATCTTTAGGCATTTTGCTTCGACCACTGCAATCACTTTTCCTCTGACTTAGACAAGAACACATTTTATATCTTCAGTCACTGATGAACAGAGGAGGCCAGGGACACAGCAGGCCCTCCAGATAATGCGATAATTTCTGAACCCTGCTCTATGACTAACAAGTGTCTTTTTAAAATAATGGAATCATTTCATTTGGATGATAAAAGAACATTGGATATCATTAGTCAGGCCTGTGTATTCTGCCAATGAGGAAAGCAACACTCTTACATATTAGGTCATTTCAGGAACATCACAGTTAATTAGCGGGGAACGGGGAGGAGGAGCCAAATGCCCGTCACTCTAAGTTTCCGTGTGCAATTCACTTTCCTTATTTCCTTCTCATTTCTGTAGTTTGCTATGTGCTGCTCTGTAACAAACTGTCCCAAACCTCCATGGGAGCAGCTTAAAACAATAATAAAGATTTCTATCGCCCAGTTTCTTTGGGTTAGGAATTCAGAAGCGTGGCTTGGTGGTTCTGCCTTAGGATCGCACATGAGACTGTGGCTGGCTGGCCACTGCAGGCCTCTGCAGCCGGCTGGCGCCACAGGTGGCTCGCTCGCAGGGCTCCTGAATTCGTGCTGAACACGACAGCAGTCACTCACCACACACACCTTCCCACAGGGCAGTTTGAGGGTCCTTAAAACTCAGTGATCAAAGAAAGAGCAAGCAAGGAGGAAGCCACGGTGTCTTGTCTGAGCCAGCCTCCGCCATTCTGTAGCAGCCCATTGGTTACACGGTCAACACCATTGCGTGTGGGAGAGGACCACACGGTGAACGCCGCGAGGTGGGGAGCACTGGTGT